GGGGAAATTGGATGTAAATTGTAAACAGTGATTTGGAAAGGAAGATTAGAAACCTTTGTTACTAAATGTTATTGATTAGCTAGAACGGGCGGTAAGGATATTGGGATACTAGAAATAGCAGACGAGATGCCAGTACGTGGTTACGTCTTGAGTTTTGGTATGTTTTATGATGAAGGATGTTTAAACAATTATAGTCAAACGAGAATGGGGGGTAGGATGATGGTAATATGCACAAATATGTTTGATTTAAAATACTAGAATTAATATGAATCATGAGTGACTGTGAAAGAAATGCATGAATTTTTTTGTAACCAACACTTTCTACAGTATGTAAAGAAAGAGGGATTTTTGTGTGTGTTGTGTCTGTTTTGGAAAAAAAAACCTTTTAATTAAAAAAAAGAAACCAGGGCTGGTGGAGGAGGGGGAGGAGGGTCCTGGGAGAGGGAGACTCACCCGCTGTTCCTCGGCGGCCACCTTCTTCCTCCGCTTCAGCCGGCTGCCTGCCGAGTCCCGGCCCTTCAGCTTCCTCCGAGGGGAGAAGGGCTCCTTGGCCTCCGGGTCGTAGCCCTGTGGGGAGGGGGCAGGGAGTCAGCCTCCTCTCCGCCGCATCCTGAGCTGCCTCCTCCTCCTCCCCCCATCGGTGCCCAGACGTACCAGCCTCTCCGCCCGCTCCTTGCGCTGCTGCTCGGAGGAAATGGGGTCCACCCGGCCCAGCTCCGTGGGGTCCAGGCTGATCAGCTCCGATGGGATCTGGGGAGAAGAACCGGCCGTGAGGGGAAGCCGGGGGGGCTCCTCCCCCAGAGCTCCCTCTCCCACCCGTGGGGCCCCTGGGGAGGGGGCTGGGGAGGGAAAGGGAGGGGCAGGGGGCTCACCTTCTCCAGGAAAGCTTTCACCTCCCACTCCTGCCTCTGCCGGCGGCTGCGGAAGGGATTGTTCTCCAAGGCGTCGAAGTTGGGCTCCCCAGCGCCTGCAGGGCGACAGGGCGGAGGGAAGTGTCCTCTCCCAAAACAGGGTGGCCCATCCCCACTCCCTTCTACCCCCCCCCTCTGCCCTGGATGGCCACTGCCCCCCCCCCCCTTTACCTGGGACCAGAAGGCTGGCCAAGCCCTGCTGGTGCCCCACGCCCAGCACGTCCTCGAAGGGGCAGAAGCGGAGGCCGTGGGAGGGGCCGGGCAGCCTGTGGCACAGGTAGGGCTTCTGGGGCGGGCCGACCGAGACGTCCTTGTACACCTGGGGAGGGGGGGGGGAGAGGGGGGCAGCTCAGGAGAGGCCAGGCCAGTGTGGGGGTGGGAGGGCCAGGCTCTTCCCGCAAGGTCACTCACCTGCACCACCTCCTGGCAGGCGGCCCCCAAGAGCCCCCGCTGGCTGAAATCCAGCAGCCCAGCCCCACAGGGCAGCAGCAGAGAGTGGAGGCGGCGATACGCCCGGAGGTCGTAGATGTGGAGCTTGTGGTCCAGCCCCGAAGTGGCCATGTAGCTGCGGGAGAAAGCAAGGAGGGCCCCTTCTACGCTCTGCATGCCCCCTGCCCCGCCCCCCCACCCCTCAGGCTGCCTGTTTGCTCACCTCCCAGAGGGGTCGATGGCCACGGCCCTCACGGCCCCCTGGTGGCACAGCATCCGGGCCAGGGGGGCTTTGGCGCTGGGGCTCCAGAGGGTCACCGTCCCTGCAGCAGCGGAGGGAAGGGGGAACGGTGGGCGGAGGCGCTCCAGACGTGGGCAGGGAGACCCCCCCCACATCCCTCCCCTCCCCCCCCCACTCACCGTTGCTGTGCCCCAGGTGGACGATGGCGTTGGAGGGGTTCTGGGCCATCACCGCCAGCCGGCCAGCCTTGGTGCAGATGGTGGCCACCTCCTTCCCCACCGAGATGTCCAGGTACTGCAGGAAGCCGGACTCGCTCTTGGGGGGGAGGGAAGAGAACAGTTCTGGGAGGGGGGTGGAGAAAAGTGCCCTCCCCCCCCCCGGTTTTCCTGGGCTCTGCAGCCCAGCTGACCCTGGGTGACGGCTTTGGTAAGGGGCCGGGGGTGGGGTGGGGTCCCAGGAGCGGCCCCTTTGGGGGAGAGGGCCAAGGCCCCCCGAGGCCCACTCACCGCTGTGGCCAGCAGGAAGTGGTAGGGCAGGAACTCCATGCGCTGGACGCCGTTGAAGCGCTTCAGGCAGTTCAGCTCCACGCCTTGCTGGTCGTAGACGTAAAGCCACTTCCGCTGGGCCACGGCAAAGAGGGTCTCCGTGTGCAGCCACCTGCAACAGGCAGGGCAGGAAGTCAGAAAAACGAAATTTCCCTGGGAAATATCACCTCCGTGTCTTTAGGCAGGAAGCGGGCTCACTCTTAAGAGCCCCCACCTTCGTCAACGGGGCCATCTAAAGGCCTGGGCGGGTCTATTCTACATAACAAAGATCTCCCCCCTCCAGATCCATGATAGTATTAGTCCTTTACCCCTCTCACCACTAGGCGTCTGGGAAGAAGCTCGACCAAGCTTGGACTCAAAACGCAGCCTAGAGAGTTGCCCCTGCGTGGCCCATATGGGAGCCTGACAACCAATCAGAATGCAGGATCAAAGGCGTCAGAGAGGGCATAAAACCAGGGACTTTCTCTGTTTCTTCTTCTCCCAACATCCGGAAGCATCTGATGATCCCCCCTTTTCTACTCAGGAGCTCAGGGGGTCCTGCCCACCATTGAACCTTCTTTCCAAGCAGCCTCCATGTTTCCAGTGTCTTTTTCCCCCCCCCCCACTTGGAACCGAACCCAGGTGGGCGTTTCTTCCAACAGCCCCTTCACGGGTGGGGGTGGGTGGGGGAAGGGAGGGGGCAGGGACCCCCCCCAGGCCAAACCGAGGCCTCCGTTGTGGGTTGAAAGACTCACAAAGATGTGACTTTTGGGAGCCGTTGCTGTGCAGCCAACATGGGAGGGATTGCAGCCCCCCTGCTGGGCCATGGGGAGGGGAGGGGGACCTCTGTGCTCTCCCTCAGTTCCCCCCCCAACCCCCCCCCACGGGGGGAGGCCCAGAGCTGGCTGCATGTGGGGGGAGGGGGACTCACGTGAGGTCCGTGATGGTCTCCATGACGTTGATCTCACACATCAGGCTCTTTGTCTGCCAGTCCAGGGCAGCCACGTGGCCCCGCCGGCCCCCCAGGAGGAGATGCCTGGAGTGGGAGCAACGTAGGGGTGAGTGGGACGCAGAGGGCACCCCAACCTCGGTGGTCCCAGGCCCTTCGCAAGCCCCCCCCCCCCCTCACCTGCCGTTCCGCGTGTAACTCAGCCGGTAGGGGCCGAAACGATCCAGGAGCAGCTCAAAATGCGGGGGGGGGGAGGAGGGGGGGGGGAAAGACAGAGTGGTGATGAAATTGCTCCCCCCCAGACCAGTAACCCCCCCATCCCAGAGCACAGGCCCCCCCCACCCCCCTTTCCCACCTTTGCACTGGCAGCCAGATCGACGGCAGCAGCGATCTCGGCCT